GGGAGAAGGGAAATGATACTAAAACTTAACTTACATAACATAATGTAACAATAACTTAAAAATAACTTAACACTAATTTTTTTTATCTTTTCTGTCTTATATATTATTTTAAATTTTTTATTCACTGCTTTTTTGCTTTTTTCCTTCACTTCCACCAGCTCTTTCACTGGATAGAGGTCGCTTGGTAAAATATCTATCCAAAGAGATTTGGCTTTGCCTACTTTTTAAAATGTTTCTAAAATGACTTAGGCAAGTGTCATTAAACTGAGCAGCAATACGGCCAGTGTGAACCTTTTCGGGATGTTTCTTTTCAATAAAATCAGTCACTTTCTGATAATATCTCGAGATTTCCTTTATCGAGCGAGATTCTTCCACGACAAAGCAAACACGCAGACTGAGATCGATGAACAGAAAAAACATGTGATCATGATGATGGCGCTGCAAACTAACGTTGTATGGTGAGGTTTTGTTCATACTGTGGAGCAAAAATATGTTTGAATTTCATGTCGTATCCTGAAAATTTCGTATGCTGAAGCGTTTGTATCCTGTGGTACTAGTGTATAGTTAATTGCAGCCTCCTGCTACTAAGCTTTCCATATCTGATCTCAACTTTCATCTATCTAACTCTGTTTTCGAGATTAAGGAAGGACAGGCAGACAGCATGGATGACACTGGGAATTTATAGATTAACAATTTTTTCAAATTGCAGCCCAATAAAAAATAGAACTAAAATGCACCAAATGTAAATAGTTATAAATGTTATTGGAGGAGAAAATTAAAATGTTCAGGTCTCAGTCATGCATATGTACAGTACCCATTTTAAAGTACTTAAACATGTAGGCTGCTACTGTGTACCCTAAAAAGTGATGATTGACATGTGTCCCTGGATTTGCTGAAAAAAAATCTGGTCATCCTACCTAAAGGCTAGTTAAGAACAATTTAGTCTAGTTATTGCGCACTCTAAATATAGCATACTTGTTTTGTTATTTTAAAATAATTGTTAGCTATATATTCTAATACAGTGGTATCTCAGGATACGAAATTTTCAGGATATGACATGAAATTCAAACATATTTTTGCTCCAGGTTACGAACAAAAACTCACCATATGACATTACATTAGTTCGCAGTGCCATTTTTTATTCACTTCTGTTCATTGGTCTCAGTCCACATGTTTTCTTCATCGTGGAAGGATCTTGCTCGATAAAAGAAATCATGAGGTATTATCAGAAAGGAACTGATTTTATTGAAAAGAAACACCCCAAAAAGGTTCACACTGGCCGTATTGCTGCTTGGAGTAATGACATTTGCCTAAGTCATTTTAGAAACATTTTAAAAAGTAGGCAAAGCCAAATCTCTTTGGATAGATATTTTACCAAGCAACCTCGATCCAGTGGAAGTGAAGGGAAGAAAGCAAAAAGCAATGAATAAAAATAAAAAAATATATATATATATATATTTTTTTTATTTTTTTATTTACATACAATTACATGTAAAACCAAATAATTCGTTCCAACACAAAAAACACTCAAATTAAAGCTAAGTAGTACATTAAAAAAACTACAGTAAGGAAAACACTGAAAAATTCGTTTTGTAGTTGTAAATGTATAAATAACCATAA